CTCGACGTGCAATAGCCAAGTCTTAAGCCCTAGTGCTCTACCTTCCGCATCGAAACGCAGGACCCGAGGAATGGCCATGGCGAGTGCTGGGCGGAAGTTGGAGCTAGGAGTGAGCTAGTGTTGGTGCAACCCTACGGTTTGCACTCGGCTTGTTGTCCGTGTGCGTGCATGTGTGTGTGTATGGAATGGTATGAGGGCATGGGATAATATATATTTCATGCTTATAATTGTGTGTGAATGTTGAGTCATGATGTCGAGTGTGTGTGTCGAGTCAATAGCGAGTTATCGCTAGACGCGTGTTACGCGGTCGTTTGTGTCTTGCGCGCGGTTTCTATTTTTGTCGTGCGCGGTTTCTATTTTGTCCTGTGTCGAACGTTCGGTGTGTCGCAGGTGTGCGCAGCAGACCCATCAAGAACTCAAGGATGAGTTTGTGATGAAGAGCCCGAGCCTTGGTGTCAAGCCTCAAGTGATTTCGAAGCTCGCCAAAAGGGTACACCTGAAGATATTGAAGATAGTTACATTACTTTGTGTAGTGTAACATTTCACTTGGTGTAGGCCCTAGTGAAGGGTAGTTTCAAGACCCTTCGTGGTTGGGGACAGTGTGGCACTGTTCCACATCTTTGTACCTCGGCTCTTGGTGTTTGTAGGAGCTGGGAGTCATTCCCAACTCATAACTCTTCATATCTCTTCCTATTTTGTGTTCTAAGACTATAGTGGCTGCCATAGTGCCGTTCTTTCAAACCGACACTGTGTCGTCAATACTTGGTGAAATTGTGCGATCTAAATTGCCTATTGTAGGCGACGTTCAGACGCTCCAGATCCAAGTTGAATTAGGTCATTTCAAGTTGTGACCAGAACGCTATGAACGTTTGAAGCCGCTGTGCAGAAATCCGGCTGTGCACTCTATCTTTCGTTTTAGGCACATTGGAGCCTATTGTGACTATAACAGCTAGGAACGCCAGGAACTAGGAGTGGCCGGAGCTAGTACTGACCGGAGATAGGAGTGGCCGGACCTAGGAAAAACTGGAGCTATGAGTGGCCGGGGCCAAGAGTAGCTGGAGCTGGGAGTGGCTGGAGCTAGGAACAGCATGGAGCAGCTGGAGCTAGGAGTGGCCCGAGCTAGGAAAATGCTAGGAACGCCAGGCTAGGAACACGAACCTACGCTATTTATGAGATGACGCGGCCACAGCCGCCGTGAGTAGTGTTACAAGTGAAAGGAACATATTCTAGCGGAAGGCCGGCTCTAGTGGGTACGTAAGTATTGTGTGCTAGTGTTAAAGTGGGAAATGAATGATAAAACTAGAAAGGAACAAGATACAAATAGGAAACCCTAAATGGGTTGTATCCTATAGAAGCCAAGTCGCTATAACACCTAGAATAGAACTAAGCAAACATATAAAATATACTTTGGCACACTCCCATCGTCTAGGTGACGGTAGTCCTATGGAAAGCAACACATGTCTAAGGTTGGACCACGAAGTGACCACACAGTCTGAGAGCACGGGTCACAGGACCAGTCAGCAAGAACAAGCAATGGTCACAAGACCAGACTGCAAGAATAATAAACAAACAAGAGATGCAACACAGGGTGGATCATAAAGTTACCACACAGTCTAAGAGCAATTAGGGGCCACAAGGCCATTTCACATGCGGTGGTGATCACAAGGCGGTAGTGCCTTTGTGAATATATCTGCAGTGTTGGCCTCCGAGGCCACACATACCATGTGGGCCTGGCCACTCTGCTGCAACTCACGCAGAAGAAAGTAACGCAGGTGGATGTGCTTCGCCTTCACTACTAGTCGAGGCTCCTCACACAACAGGATCATAAACATGTTGTCTGCGAACAAGACGGGGGGAAAGCAAGGCCACTCACCAAGGTCAGTGAGAAGGAAAGACAACTAGCAAAGATCCTGTGCAGCCATGGCCGCAGCGTAGACCTTTGCCTCACAACTGGAACTAGCGACAGGCAAATCTTGAGTGAACTTCCGCAAACAGCTCCCGTCCCAAGGGTGAAGCAGTACCTCTGTGTATACCTTATCGTCTGCGCACAGTCCGTGTACGAAGACTTTGAATGTCCGGTGAGTGTAATTGGCTGGCATCCTCCAAGCACACAAGTACCATACATGATGTACTCCCCCGGTAGTTCGTCACCAACCTAGCAGCCAACCAGTGAGCAGGTCGATGTCTCCAAGGCGCAACAAAGCGAGCCAGGACGCTGAGAGGGAAAGCGAGACAATTCACCAACCCTGCATATGGACCACTAGGCTGAAATGACTCGTCTGAAGGTGGAGCCGTATGCTTAGGATCCATAACAAGAGGGGTGGGTTGTGTCGATGAGAACTGAAGGCCGAACGTGTTGCACCATATGCAACTAAGTCCGTGTAATGGTGTGAGCAGCTCTGTCTCTGGTGATCTGCCATCTGCTGCGCTATATAGTGACACCCAAAGAGTGTTTATCTTCGGGATGGTGAAGAAGGTCTAGTAGAAGTCTACCCCATTGTGCTGACTGAAGCCTCTCGCCACGTAGCACGCCTTAAATACATGTGGCGCTCCAAGTGGCCGCTTCACCTTGTAGATCCACATGCCATTGTCGGCGTTCGCCCCAGGTAGTGGGACTACGTCGACGTAGGTGCCTGTGGACCTATAAGATGCCATCTATGCCTCCTTAGCTGCTTTCTAGTATGAGGGCCAAGGTCTCGAGACTGCCTAGATCCCCCTCAAGGATAAGCAGTGAGGCGCAGAGGTGAGGACCAGTGGACACAAGAAACTGCAACTTGAAATGCCTGTCCTTCTGGACCTCCAAGTCAAAGACAGGAGCATCCCCGAGGGACGGAGAACGAGCAGAACCACTCATCAGCTGAGCGACATATTCAAGGCGGTGGGAGGAGGCAAAGTCGGAGACAGCAGCGACAAGAGCCGAGACCAAATGCGAAGGAGCAGTCGGGTGTGTAACCAACAACGTAAGAACACGGGAGATGACTGGACGAGTGGCACGGAGAGAGGAACAGAACGGGGTGGGAGACACAGAGAGGGATGACACTGGAGGCGACGAAAGGACCATAAGAGGTGGAACACGAGAGTAGAGAACAGGGTGAAAGGGACCGTCAGCACGGTAACAAGACAGGCGAGACTCTAGGGAAACAGCTCGACCGAGAGGAGCACGACGAGACCACAAGGACAGGGAAAGTGACGGGTCAGGAGGAACAGGAGGAGTCTGCATGGGAGCACAGATGAAGCGCGCAGGTGCAGCGTCACAAAGCTCTTGCTGACACCGCTGCTCCACTGCCTCCGGCATCTGGTGTGCCTGCAACTGCACCTCCTGCTGCGGCTGTGGCTCCTCCTCTACCCTCTCTTGCTACGGTTGCAACTGCTCCTGTTGCTGCGGCTGTGGCTGCTCCTCTACCCTCTCTTACTGCTGCGGCTGCTGCTCCTCCTTGCTCCTCCCTCTCCAACTGTCGACAACGCTGCCCACGAGTCCGGTAATGCACGGTAGGCTGAGCAAGCGCCCCAGGTTCTGTTATAGACTAAAGACGGAGTCTACGAAGATTAGGTGCTTAAATTTCTCAAAATCGTTGGCTTCAAATTCTGGACAGAAACGTTGACTTCACAAGAAACGCCGTCGACGGAAGGTGCACTGTTAAAACTTCACGAAACTCAGATATTTTGTAGCCCTAGTTCGTGGCTACAATTCCCAATTTGAATCGTACAATAAGGTGAATTATTTCTTGAGTTACGAATTTCGGCGCACTAGGGGGTAAGCTGCCATAGAATCTTAACTCAATCACAATAGTCTCACAAGTTCACACAAGAAAGTTGGAGTGGCTAGGAACCAGGTAGGAGGGGATGAGGAGGACGAGAGGGAAGGTCCCAAGGGAGTCCCCAACCAAGGAAACCCCATGCCACACAATTTCCCTCTCTATAGCAACCCCACTTTTACTTTTGTCACTTTCCCAACCTCCACAATCCACCTCACCCAAGTTGGTCACACTTGCCAACCCAATTTGGTTTCTCCCAACCACTTGGCAGCATCTACAGTGATGGGGACAAATTTCCTAACCCCCAAAAGTCTGTACCCCTTATGGAGTCAACCCCACAACTTCCCATAGTCACCACAACCAAATATCATAAGTATACGAACTTCCAACGTTCGTAACTTTCTTGTTCGTGCTCCGATTGAAGCGATACTTGGTTGGTCGGAAAGCTCTTGAGCAGTGGAGTCATTTCAGATATCTGCTCAAGCCAACTAAGTTTCAAACACACTCAGAAAATCCAAACCACAGAAAACACAAATTCTTGCACACGCTCACACAACGCATACAACGCACGAACATGTGATAGGAGGCAGACAGACGTGAATGCAAATGATAGCATCACATAACAAACTCCCCCTCTGGCTGCCTACCATCATCCCACATGCCACAGATCAAGCATGCACCCTCAATACACACTCATCCCAGCAAGGTTCATGCCCTTCCAATGCTCAGATTCGGCCAGACGCTTGGTGAGAATGTCAGCCGCCTGCTGATGGGTCTTCTCAATCTCCAGCCGCACCTCCTTGTCCAGGAGCCTCCTCACCCAGTGCCACTTGGGCCTGATGTGCTTTGTCAGCCCATGAAGGCAGGCGTTCTTGGCAAGCTTCACTGCCGACTCATTGTCACAGAATATGATCGTCAGCTCCCTCTGGCCAACTCCAATCTCCTCCAGCAAAAGCCTCAGCCACACCACCTCCTTTGCCCCATGATGCAGGGCCATGTACTCTGTCTCACACGTGTTGGAGTAGGCTAGAGCTCGCTCTGGTCTTTTTTTTGGTGTTCTTATATTATCTCTCCATGCTTAGAGAGCGTTACGCATTCAGGTTCATTTTAGGCTCATTTTGGAGCTTTTAGTACAAACCGAACACACCCTAGGTTCAATTAGGGTTTCCAACCATCTCTCTTTTGTATTTCGACATTTTCTCTTCCTAGTTCAACTTTTTACCTCACCAAACACTCTCGCCATCCATGGCTTCTCCAACTTCAACATGGTATCAGAGCCTAGTCCTAGGCGTTTCCCTTTTATCCGCATCTCTTAGAAATTTTCTGGTCAGGCTATTTCCGCACTACTTACCTAGACGATTTTCTTTTTCTTCTATTCTATTGTTTCCTTAAATTCACACTTAGCATCCTCGCGGTTTTCTTCATTTTAGTCACGCGGATGCTCTATTTCACTCCGTAGCGCGCCTCTCTACTGTCCGTTCGCTCTCCTGCGCCTTCCCCCTTCGTCGCGCCTCCTCGTCTCACATTCCCGGTGGTAGCGCGCTGTTTTTTGCTCGTAGCGCGCTCAGCCGCCTCCCCCTCCCCTCCGCCCCCCTTCCCGTCTCGTCGCGCGCGCATTGCGCTGCCGTCGCCGCGCGCGCTTTGCTTTGTCGAGCAACGCGCGCGCTTGCCTCCTCTGCGACGCACCCTTCCCCTTCCCAATCCCCCCTCCCCTCCCTCGCCCTCCTCCTCCTTTCCACTCTCCTTTGTCCATCCCTCCCTATCTCACCTCTTCCTCCTCCTCCTTTCTCTCCTCATCTGCTGCAACTCGTGCGTGCTTGTGGCGCGCTCTTCCCACAAACCCGCCCCTTCACCATCCTCCTCCTCTCCTCTCTCCCTCTAACTCCCCTTCCGCTCGTTTTCCTCCACCTCTTTTCTCTCCCCATCTGCTGCAGCTGGTGACTGATTGCTATTGAAGTTGTTGCTCCTCCACACCTTTCCTCCTCCTTAGTACCCTCCCCTCAACTGCTCAACTGCAAACTCCTTCACAACTATCCCTCCTCCTCTTATTTCTCCCCTCAGCAGCATAGCAGCAGACTACCTCGCCACTATCCCTCCTCCTCTAGTTTCTCCCCTCAGCGGCGCAGCAGAAGAATACTTCGCCAATATCCCTCCTCCTCTAGTTTCTCCCCTTAGCGGTGCAGCAGCAGAGTACTCCGCCGCTATCCCTCCTCCTCTAGTTTCTCCCCTCAGCGGCGCAGCGGCAGACTACTCCGCCAATATCCCTCCTCTTCTAGTTTATCCCCTCAGCGGCGCAGCAGCAGACTATTCCTCCACTATCCCTCCTCCTCTAGTTTCTCCCCTCAGCGGCACAGCAGCGGACTACTCCACCACTATCCCTCCTCCTCTAGTTTCTCCCCTCAGCGGCACAGCAGCGGACTCCTTCGCCCTTATTCCTCCGCCTCTTATACCTCTCCCCTTATCTGCTCTGCAGCTGTCTCCTCCTCCTTATGGCGACCTCTCTTGCCCTCCCCTCCCTCCCTCTGCTGGTCCGTCAGCTTGCGCCTGATGGCAGCGCAGTCAACTTCCCCTGTTGGCTGAATTGTCTCGAGCGCACGCTGTCTGGCACCCTCGTGAGTGGCTTTAACCTCTGGTTTGTCACTCAGTAGAGTGGTTCTGGCGCCATTCCTAAACCTGCCTCTGCACCTACCTCTACCTCCTCTGACCCCTATGCTGATGGCCTTCGTGCTGCTATCGCTGAAACTGGGCGGATTGCGGCCACGGCCCAAGCCACTGCTGCGGCTGCTCCTGACAATGCTACAGCCCGTGACCTTGCTCGTGTCCTTGCTGAGTCCCTCGAGAGCACCCGCAAGTGCCTCACTTAGCACCTCGCTGCCCCCTCTCCTCATTCTGCCTCTACTCCCTCTGCTTCTGCTCCATCTCACTCTGACCTTCTCGCTGACTGGCATGTTGCCAACGCACGTGCCTGCCAGGTCATCCTTGCCTGCCTACCTCCAACCCTTCTCCCTCAGTGCTCGCACATCCGCTATGCCAAGGACCTTCTTGGCTATCTTACCGAGCGCTTCCAGTCGCAGACTCCCATCAGTGTCATTGCCCTCTTATGCGAGCTTACCTCTCTTCGCCTTGCTGACTTCACCACCATGGCGGACTACATCGGTCGTGTGCAGACGCTGTCCTCCCAACTTGCCTCTCAAAAGTTTGAACTTTCCGATCATGTGTGCGGTGCCCTCCTCCTCACAGGCCTCACTCCCGAATACAATGTTCATGTCACTCTGTATGGTGAGCGCCCTACCGACCAGTGGTCGTTCTCTCATGTCTCTGCCTTCCTCCTCCAGGCAGAGCTCAACCTCCGCAGCTGCCCTCCTACTGTTTCCGCTGTCACACCCTCTTCGCCCCCCCCCCCTCTCCCCACCTCCACTGCCGCCGCTGCTTCCTCTCGCTCTCGCAACACCTTTCCTCCTTGCACCTACATCATTCGCCAAGGGCCTTGCAAGGGTCAGCCATGCGGTCGCACCAATCATCCCTCCTCCTCCTGCTTCCAGAAGCTCACCGATGACTGGTTCCTGGCTGGCAACACTGGTCGCCCTCCCAACTGGCTTCAACTCTCTCGTCAGCGTTGCCAGTCTTCTGCCCAGGCGGTACTTGTGGCTGCCGACTCTGGTACCAGTGCTCAAACCTCTGCTCTTAGTGTGAATCTGCCTAGTCAGGATAGCATTCTGGGAGCTTCTCTCCTTATGGACCCTCGTTTTGCCATGATGTTTGCTCCTTTTGTTAATGGCAATGATTCTCAGTATCTTCGTCCCACAGCTGCTGCTCTTTCTCTCCCTCACACTCTTGAGTTTGTTCTTGACAGTGGTGCCACTGACTCTGTTTTTAGTGATGCTGGTGTGCTTCGCTCTTTTCCCCAACCCCTCTCCATTCAAGGAGCTGGGGATACCATGACCATGACTTGCACTGCTACCTCCTCTCTTCCCTATCCTGCCTCCCCCTCTGGTGCTGTGAGTGGCCTCTATGTCCCTTCCTGCCGCCACAACCTTCTCTCTCTCTCTGCACTTCAACGTCTTTGTGTGCGAGCTATCTTTCCTGAATGTGACTCCTATTGTGATCTCTATCATCGCAACCGCCATCTTGCACGCTTTACTCTTTCCCCTATCACTCGCCTCTACACTCTTTGTGTCTCTCTCCCCCTTTCTGCCCATCATGCCTCTTCCGCTTCCGCCCCTCCCGTTCCTTCTTGCGACTGTCGTTCTCTCACTCAACCTACCCTTCTCCTCCATCATCGGCTTGGCCACCCCAATTTTCCCCTTCTTCGCAGTATGGTCTCCTCCAAGCTTCTTCATGGCCTCCCTTCCTCTCTCCCCCCTCTTCCTCCCTCTCCTGCTCCTCCATGCACCCCATGTGTCCAGGCCAAATTATCCCAGTCACCCCATCCCTCTTCTCCTTCTGCCTCTCCCCAACCCCTTGACCTTGTTCACATGGACCTCTGGGGTCCTTCACCCACTGCGTCTCATCAGGGTCATCGCTACTTTCTGCTTTTGGTTGATGACCACTCACGGTTTGCCACTGTCTATCCCCTCCATGCCAAATCTGACGCTCCTTCCCTCATCATTCGATGGGCTGAGCAGGCTTGTCTACGCTTTAAGCGTCCTATCGCGCGCTTCCACTCGGATGGTGGTGGCAATTTCTTTAATCACTCTCTCTCCTCTTACTATGCCTCTCATGGCATTCGCCAGACCTCCACTCTTCCTCACTCACCAGAACATAATGGGGTTGCCGAGCGTCGCAATCGCACTCTCATGGAAATCACTCGCTGCCTTCTCACTCATGCCTCTGCTCCCCACTCTCTTTGGAGCTATGCTCTCCTCCATGCCACTCTTCTCTCTAACCTCCGCTCTCATCCTCTTCGCCCTACTACCACCCCCTTCCAGCTTTGGACTGGCCGCCAGCCCTCTGTTCGCCCTCTTCGGGTCTGGGGGTGTGTCGCCCATGTTCTTGTCAATCCAGCAGACCAGTCCCGTCAGGGTGGGAAACTCGCTCCCAAGACGCAGCTCTGTGCATTTCTTAGCATCAACTCTGACTGCCTGGCTATCTTTTCTATGCCCCTTCCTCTCACCAACTCATCCGCAGCCAAGACGTCATTTTCGATGAGACTCAATCCCCATTCCATTCCCCCCCACCCGCCCCTCCTGTCCCCTCTCTTCACTGGTCTGATTTCGATCAGCCGCCGTCTGTCCTTCCCTCCCCTCCCCCCCTCCCCTCCTATCCCGCCCCTTATCGCCCCTCCCTCTACGCGAGCCTCTACTGCCCCCCCTTCCGTCATCATCTCTGGCGCCTCCCCACCCGCCTCTTCCTCTTCTGCTCCCCTCCCTTCCTCACTTCCATCTTCCTCTCCACCTCCTTCGTCTGTTCCCATTCCCCCCCCTTCCCCACGCCTTACTCGCTCCATGACTCGCGCACTTTCTAATTTTCAGTACTCTGCTCTCTTCACTCGTCTTTCTCCATCTCAGAATGTTACTCTTCTTGAAGATTGCTTTGAGGAGCTCTTCAACATTCATCCTGTTTCTCCTCTCCTGTGTGTCACCGTTGGTGACTTCAGCGATTCCCCCACTCTTCTCTCTGTCGACACCGCTGCCATCCCCACCCCTCAGTCCTACTCCGAGGCTGTGTCGGGCTTTCATGCCACTGAGTGGATGGCTGCCATCATTGCTGAGTGTGAGGCATTCACTAGAACTAATTCATACATTGACTCTGTCCCCACCCCTGGCGCCACGATTGTCAAAGGCAAATGGGTCTTCCGTGTCAAGCAGCTGCTCGGCGAACTTCCTGTCTTCAAGGCCCGCTACTTTGCCAAGGGGTTCACTCAGCGTGAAAGCATTGATTACTTTGCCACTTACTCCCCCACAGCCCGTCTCCCCACCCTTCGCCTCCTTCTTGACTTAGGTGCTCGCTGGACTTGGGAGATCCATTCCATGGACGTTTCCAATGCTTTCCTCCAGGGCGAGCTGCATGAGCGCATATTCCTTGAGCGCCCCGCTGGCTTTCCTCGCCCTTTCCCTCCAGGCACGGTTTGGGAATTGAAACGACCTGTGTATGGCCTTAAACAGGCCCCACGCGAGTGGCACGCCAAGCTCGCCTCCACCCCAGTTGGTTCATTCGCACACCCCCCCACAGGCTTTACATCCTTGCCTATGTGGACGATTTGGTGCTGCTTGCTGAGGACTCCGCCGATCTTGCAGCTGTCAAGAAGGCCCTGCAGGCGCGTCTCCTGTGCAAGGACCTTGGCGAGCTTCGTCACTACCTCGGCATGGAGATCCGTCGTGATCGTGCTGCCCGCACCATCTCCCTCTCCTAGTCTTTCTATATCCAGTCCATCCTCTAGCGGTTTGAGATGTCGCAGGCCAAGCCGGTCTCCACCCCTCTTCCCGCTAACCATCAACTCACTGCCCCTGCCGTCCCTGCTCCCTCCTCTGAGCTGCGGCCTTATCCTGAGCTCGTTGGATCTCTCATGTATGCTATGATGTGCACTCGCCCCGACCTTGCTTACCCCCTCAGTGTTCTCTCTCGCTTTGTTGGTCTAGGCCGCCACACTGACGTGCACTGGGCGGCTGCTAAGCGCGTCCTGCGCTATCTGCGCGCCACCTCTGACCTTGCTCTTACTCTTGGTGGCTCTATTCCTCCCGTTCTCTCCGGCTACAATGACCCTTCCTATGCTGACTCCCGCCCTGATCGCTGCTCATCTCAGGGCTATGGTTTCACTCTTGGCAGTGGTCTCATAAGCTGGCGCTGTACCCGCTCATCCTTTGTCTGCCTTTCCACCTGTGAGGCTGAGTTGTACGCAGGCACCTTGGCAGCTCAGGAGGCTCGCTGGCTCTCCTTTCTCCTTGCTGAGCTTGGTCACTCTCAGCCCTCTGTGACGCTCTCCTGTGACAGTGCGAGCATGATTCATCTCACTGAAAATCCTGTCTATCACGCCCGCATCAAGCATATCGAGGTCCGCTGTTTCTTTGTGCGCGAGCTGGTGCTGTCTGGTTTCTTACGTCTGCGCAAGGTGGACGCTGCTGCCAACGTTGCTGACATTTTCACCAAGGCTCTTCTGCGTGCGCCACACCGTTTCTCCGTGCGCGAGCTTGGGCTCACGCGTCTCTCCACTTCTGGGGGTGTGCCGGTTCGCTAGGTGTTTTGCTCCAGAGCTTCACCTAGCCAGGGGGTGTGTTGGAATAGGCTAGAACTTGCTCTTGTCTTTTTTTTGGTGTTCTTATATGATTTCTCCATGCTTAGAGAGCGTTACACATTCAGGTTCATTTTAGGTTCATTTTGGAGCTTTTAGTACAAACTGAACACACCCTAGGTTCAATTAGGGTTTCCAACCATCTCTCTTTTGTACCTCGACATTTTCTCTTCCTAGTTCAACTTTTTACCTTGCCAAACACTCTCGCCATCCATGGCTTCTCCAACTTCAACAACAGGAGGACTGCCCCACCTCATTCTGCTTCTTACTGCGCCAGCTCACTGCACCACCTCCAAATAGGCACACATAGCCTCCAATGCTGGTGCCATCCGCTTTCACCGAGTTGAAGCTAGCGTCGGTGTAGCACGTCAAGAGCATCCCCCCCTTGCTCAAATCAGCTGCACCTCTCTGCAGCCTCTATCTCACAGCACTATATTCCAAACCCACTGATGCCGTTGCATGCACACAGCGGACCAACCTCTTGGCCGCTTCCAGCTGCTCATGACTGGGGCGAGAAACCACACTGGCAAGCCTGGATGTTGCAAAGGCAATGTCAGGCCGCGTGTGGTTAGCCGCATAGTTGAGTGCCCCCACCATGGAATGAAACAACTTCCTGTCACTCTCACCCACTACCTC